TTAAGTCTGTGACCAGGTGTGTGTGGTGTGTTAGTCTGTGACCAGGTGTGTGTGTAGGTGTGTTAGTCTGTGACCAGGTGTGTGTAGGTGTTAGTCAGTGACCAGGTGTGCGTAGGTGATAGTCAGTGACCAGGTGTGTGTGGGTGTGTTAGTCTGTGACCAGGTGTGTGTAGGTGTTAGTCAGTGACCAGGTGTGTGTGGTGTGTTAGTCAGTGACCAGGTGTGTGTAGGTGTTAGTCAGTGACCAGGTGTGTGTAGGTGTTAGTCTGTGACCAGGTGTGTGTAGGTGTGTTAAGTCTGTGACCAGGTGTGTGTGGGGTGTTAGTCTGTGACCAGGTGTGTGTGTAGGTGTGTTAGTCTGTGACCAGGTGTGTGTAGGTGTTAGTCAGTGACCAGGTGTGTGTGGTGTGTTAGTCAGTGACCAGGTGTGTGTAGGTGTTAGTCAGTGACCAAGTGTGTGTAGGTGTTAGTCTGTGACCATGTGTGTGTAGGTGTGTTAAGTCTGTGACCAGGTGTGTGTGGTGTGTTAGTCTGTGACCAGGTGTGTGTGTAGGTGTGTTAGTCTGTGACCAGGTGTGTGTAGGTGTTAGTCAGTGACCAGGTGTGTGTAGGTGATAGTCAGTGACCAGATGTGTGTGGGTGTGTTAGTCTGTGACCAGGTGTGTGTAGGTGTTAGTCAGTGACCAGGTGTGTGTAGGTGTTAGTCAGTGACCAGGTGTGTGTAGGTGTTAGTCAGTGACCAGGTGTGTGTAGGTGATAGTCAGTGACCAGATGTGTGTGGGTGTGTTAGTCTGTGACCAGGTGTGTGTAGGTGTTAGTCAGTGACCAGGTGTGTGTAGGTGTTAGTCTGTGACCAGGTGTGTGTAGGTGTGTTAAGTCTGTGACCAGGTGTGTGTGGTGTGTTAGTCAGTGACCAGGTGTGTGTAGGTGTTAGTCAGTGACCAGGTGTGTGTAGGTGTTAGTCTGTGACCAGGTGTGTGTAGGTGTGTTAAGTCAGTGACCAGGTGTGTGTGGTGTGTTAGTCTGTGACCAGGTGTGTGTGTAGGTGTGTTAGTCTGTGACCAGGTGTGTGTAGGTGTTAGTCAGTGACCAGGTGTATGTAGGTGTTAGTCTGTGACCAGGTGTGTGTATGTGTGTTAAGTCAGTGACCAGGTGTGTGTGGTGTTTTAGTCTGTGACCAGGTGTGTGTGTAGGTGTGTTAGTCTGTGACCAGGTGTGTGTAGGTGTTAGTCAGTGACCAGGTGTGTGTAGGTGATAGTCAGTGACCAGGTGTGTGTGGGTGTGTTAGTCTGTGACCAGGTGTGTGTAGGTGTTAGTCAGTGACCAGGTGTGTGTAGGTGATAGTCAGTGACCAGGTGTGTGTGGGTGTGTTAGTCTGTGACCAGGTGTGTGTAGGTGTTAGTCTGTGACCAGGTGTGTGTAGGTGTTAGTCAGTGACCAGGTGTGTGTAGGTCTTAGTCAGTGACCAGGTGTATGTAGGTGTTAGTCTGTGACCAGGTGTGTGTAGGTGTGTTAAGTCAGTGACCAGGTGTGTGTGGTGTGTTAGTCTGTGACCAGGTGTGTGTAGGTGTTAGTCAGTGACCAGGTGTGTGTAGGTGTTGGTCAGTGACCAGGTGTGTGTTTGTAGGTGTTAGTCAGTGAACAGGTGTGTGTGTAGGTGTGTTAGTCTGTGACCAGGTGTGTGTGTAGGTGTGTTAGTCTGTGACCAGGTGTGTGTAGGTGTTGGTCAGTGACCAGGTGTGTGTTTATAGGTGTTAGTCAGTGAACAGGTGTGTGTTTGTAGGTGTTAGTCAGTGAACAGGTGTGTGTTTGTAGGTGTTATTCAGTGAACAGGTGTGTAGGTATTAGTCAGTGACCAGGTGTATGTAGGTGTGTTAGTCAGTGACCAGGTGTGTGTAGGTGTTAGTCAGTGACCAGGTGTGTGTAGGTGTGCTAGTCAGTGACCAGGTGTGTGTAGGTGTTAGTCAGTGACCAGGTGTGTGTAGGTGTGTTAGTCAGTGACCAGGTGTGTGTAGGTGTGTTAGTCAGTGACCAGGTGTGTGTGTAGGTGTTAATCAGTGACCAGGTGTGTGTAGGTGTTAGTCAGTGACCAGGTGTGTGTAGGTGTTAGTCAGTGACCAGGTGTGTGTAGGTGTTAGGCAGTGACCAGGTGTGTGTAGGCGTTAATCAGTGACCAGGTGTGTGTAGGTGTTAGTCAGTGACCAGGTGTGTGTAGGTGTTAGTCAGTGACCAGGTGTGTGTAGGTGTTAGTCAGTGACCAGGTGTGTGTAGGTGTTAATCAGTGACCAGGTGTGTGTTGGTGTTAGACAGTGACCAGGTGTGTGTAGGTGTTAGTCAGTGACCAGGTGTGTGTAGGTGTGTTAGTCAGTGACCAGGTGTGTGTGTAGGTGTTAATCAGTGACCAGGTGTGTGTAGGTGTTAGTCAGTGACCAGGTGTGTGTAGGTGTTAGTCAGTGACCAGGTGTGTGTAAGTGTTAGTCAGTGACAAGGTGTGGGTAGG